AGACCACTACAATGCTTGAAGATGCTTGAGGTACGGCGGACTGCTTGCTGCCTATGCGCGACAGCTCGGACGCGCGACGGCTCGCGGGATACGCTCGGCAAAAGCTCACCAACAACACTCACTAAACTCCCTCAATATATCGGACTTGGTATAGAAGGGGAAGAAAAATGGAACAAAATTTCCAAAGTCCCTCATTTAATAAAGAACCGAATGCATTAGGGTGAGGGAGGGAATACATAGTCAAGGACTATGGACACTTGGCTCGCATGCTATCTAATGCTAGGACACAACACACTAAAAGCCAAAGTGACATGCATTAAGATCCAAACACAAGGGTTAATAATCTAACAAAAGCTAGATGGTTGGCACATGCATGAGGAAAACCGAAGTATATACATATTACTACTTAAGCCTCGGTTTTAACAAGAATATACTTAATCTTAAGCACTTTGGTCACTAAATGACAAGTTCTCCTCTTGACTTGTGATAGCTCCCATGCACACTACTACAAGACATATACTTGCACAAAAATACAAATGAATGCACGACTCTTAGGCTAGGTGGAAGGAATCTTGACCACAAAAAGAAAAAAATCACTAACATATACACAATTAATCACACGGCATTTAGCATGAAAGGAGTTCCGCCCTAGCTTGAATGGTGCACGGCATTTAACATACTAATGGTGATTAATTACCATTAATCACAAATTAAGGCTTAATCAATTAATTAATCATAATACTTAATTACCAAAATTTATTTCGAACGTAAACGGTACGTCGAAAATAATTTTCGGTAATTTCGACTGAAATAACTGGAAATAATTAATTCCGAAAAATAATATCGGAACTAAAAATATAATTTATACTGATAAATTGTCGGGATATTACATTTATAATGAATAATTGGACTCCCAGTGAGTTTGAATCTGAATGGGAATTACAAACAAACATACATGGTGTGGCAGACAATACGTGGGTAAAAGATACATATAAAAGGAAAAATCAATGGTGTGACGCATATCTTAGAGGGAATTTCATGGGGATGACTAGAACAACCCAAAGAGCGGAATCCGTGAATGCACTCTTCAAGCAGGGGGGAAATCGGGCAGCACTATTACGGAGCTCCTTAAGAACTACCATAATATTGTGGGGTCGTTGAGGGCGACTTTTTTCAATAAGCAGGAAGAATCGGAGATGAACCCACAAGATATTCCGCAAGTCACACCACTTCACGGGATTCTTGTTCAGCTGTCTGGACTTTATACACGCTCGGTTTTTGGGAAAGTTCGAAGGGAGGTTGATTGTGAGCAAAATAATATTGTGATTGATAAGAGGACTGATGATGGGGAGTCATATGTCTTCCAAATTGAAAATTATGATCCAACAACCAAAAGAGAATGGTCGGTCAAGGTGAATATAAATGAAGGCATATTCAAGTGTGCTTGCAAGATGCTGGAAACAGATGGCATTCTATGTAGTCATCTATTTACTGCATTCAAGTACTTGCATCTTCGAAAGGTGCCGACCAAATGCATACTTGATAGGTGGACGACCTTAGCGGGAAAACATCTTAGACAAAGTTTTCACTATGTGCCTGCTTCGGTTGATCCACAAAACAAAAGATTTCACGAACTGTATAAAGAGTCAGTCCATATGTGTTCCAAGGTATCTGAGAACGAGATCGATAGCAGCAAGAAAACGGATGCGCGTTAGCGCAACGGCTTCAGTGGGAGCTCAGATAGATGAGATCGAGCCTACAGAGGAAGAGACAGAACAGTCACCGACCTTCAACAGTCGGTAAAGTGAGAAGACAGTTAGCTAGCTGACACTGGCGGAGACTTTCACTCCACTTCTGAATACTCTTGAGTAATTTGTGTTAGTAGCTGCCGTTACCGGTGTTGCTGTAACATCCCGACTTTTTAATACTATATCAGAGTACGTAAATTTTCGCAATTTTCTGAATAAACAAATAAAATACTTATTTTGCGAAAACTGATTCGGGATGCTAACGTGAAAACTTAATTTTTTTGAAAACCGTTAAAATTTTAAACTGATAATTAAAAACGGTTATAACTTCTTATCCGACTAACGTCGGAACAAACACTAATAATAAGTACTGAAAGTTTTAGCGGAAGTCTAATGTGGCAAAACATATATACATATAATCACAAAAGTCCTGAACAACCCGCTCACTCCTCGTCTCCTACCCTGCGCCCTGAAAAACATGAAAAGTGTGGGGCGTGAGCACTAAAACACTTGTGCTCAGCAGAAACTCATACTAATGTAAAACATTGTAAATAATAACGATATCATGAACTAAGCATATATATAACTGAACTGAAACTGAAACTGAAACTGATATCTGATACCGGTCTGATCTCGCGACATAAGTCACGTAACTGATAACTGAAATCTGT